AGGAAACCTTGATGTGCAAGACTTAACACCTTAATCCTGCTGAACACAAGTCTTCTAGGAATTATTATTACCCATAATTGCTCAGCAGTGTGTAATGTGATGGCAGTTTGCGTCCTTCTGTATTTATACAGTGAACAGACAGGATTTGGATTTCACTGGTCACGGCTGGGCATTATTATCATGTGAATGACAATGACAGTGCATTCATTTAGACAGGTCTGAAGTGCTTCACAACTCTTGCAATTCTGCCACCCAAGAAGTCTCCACCGGTTTGGAACTTAATACTCTGTTTTGTAACTGGCTGAGTACTATAGGAACTTACCCTCCCCATTCCAACAAAACCTTGGAAAGACTTGCTTCTACAAAGATCCATGGATTTTCCTGAGCCTTTTGTGACACTCTTTAGGCACCAAAGGGAAGAACCACACACACTGTCATGTCTGATTTCTCCACTGAGGCTGAGAGCTGGGCAGGAGCTGACACAGGTGGTACCCCAATCGTCCAGATCAGAGGCGAGGCAGAACACCCAATCTCCTCTGCAGCCCACGCAAGTGCATTTCCTTTCTGAGAAAACCAAGCTGCAGGAGGGAGGGTGACGCACACACGGGGCTCTCTCAGCTATAGGGTCATGATGTGGCTGGGGCAGACATGCAGCTCTAGGGGCAGGCACTTCTAAAATCACCACAGGATTTGAACTATGAAATATGTTCATACCATACTGGATGAATTTCACTATGTCTCACACATATTACTGAGATCATGGACAGGGTATAAATTTAGCTCTGATATTCCCATGCCAAATCAACTGAACATAATTTTTTTATACATGAAACACGTGTATTGAGTGTTTTTGAGTGAACTGAAGATACTGAACTGCTGTGCCTAATAGGAACAGATGTAAACTCCTTAAAACTGTCATTTTTTAGTAGTAACAAGGCATTATAGACATGTAAGAAATTCAGCTTGTCTACTACAGCATTTGCATTAGGACCAAAGATGGCATCTCCTCCATCTCCTCCAGTTAATAAAATTATTTTCATCATAAGTAAAAGTTAAAGAACCAGGAACACACTCCTTAGCTCTGAAACCAACTGACACAGAGGATTTTCCTAGCAAAAGGTATTTTTTCTCCAGCTCTACATTCAAATTCACCTCATGACAGATCATTAGTACGGAAATTCACCCTTATAATAATGGATAAATTTGCATTTGTATTCATTATTTTTGTGGGGTATCCCTTAAAACACTCACTCAAAAATAAAGAAAATGGCAACTTCTAATTGGTTTTGGTGAAGAAAGGAAAGAGATGCAGTCCCCTCATTTCCAAAGAACAGCAGAGCTTCACAGAGCTCAAGCAAGGGCAACAAACACAATCAAATTTCTGCTGTTTTGTTCAGCAAACAGGTAGGACAGTAAAGGTAGACTAGAAAAGAGGCAATTCTTGTGGACAAACTTTCACCTAATTTTGAGTGTCACAGCACAGGCAGACAGGAAAACTCACCTGTACCAGGCTCAAAAGGTAAAACCATCAAATAAACCTAGCAGGACCCAGGATCAAAACATGCAGAGCCACAGTTGGCTGATGTGTGGAACCTGCCAAACATTTGTGCTCTCTCTGGATCCTAAGAGTAGTTCAAGGAAGTACAGGAATATCATACTGGTCTTGGGCATGGCAGTGGGAAAAACAAATCCGTGTGGGCAAGCACCTGCTGCTCCTCAGCAAATTCCACACAACCAATCTGAAGCAAGTAGGAAAAGCAAGCAAAGGGAAAATGGAATCAAGAAAGGAAACTTTGAGAGAATGGGAACAACATCATAACAACGCGTGCACACAACTGGGAGCCAGCCAGCACTGAACACCTTCTGTCCCTATCTAGTGACAAATCTAGGCCATCTGCTTAGCATGTGCACTATCACAGCACTCAGCAAGACCCGACACTCACTGGCCTTTTGACCCAGTAGGGCAATTTCAACTTTCATTTTATCATACATGTCTTAAATCCAGACCCTGAGAACAGTTTGGCAACAACTTGGCTTGTCAGTGTATATACCAGCCTCTTCCCCATTGCAAAACAATAATGCTGGACATCAGAAATCTTCTGCCTTTGGGCTTTTGCTTCACTTCTCATTCCAAAATGAAAACAAGCATTGTTGTAATCTGAGCCACAAATTTGAGTAATTGCAACTGACAAACCTCAGTTTCTTTCCAGCCACAACAAAGCACTTTTTCCTATTAAGTTGACCAAGATGCTCTGATTTGATTTTCTCTTTGCAGGACACCTCCATTTGGCTTTCCCTAAGAGATTGGTACCTTATCAGCAGTGCATTTGTATTGCTCTCTACAGTACTGCACCTAAAGAGAAGTGGGAACCAAAACTAGCAGAGGTTAACACTTGTATTATTTTGTGGGTATACCAACAACACTTTTAGCAGGTTTGGCACACATTGTATTAAGAGGAAGTTGGCAACTAAAGTTTTGGCAACACTTCACTATGGAGATAGCCTTACAAAGTCCATTTGGAATGTAAAAGGAAAACATGAGTAAACAGGACTATTCATCCTGAAGATATATGCTGGACCTCCTGAAGATATACTATTCCTAGACAAAAAGAAGCCAGTCAAATTCACACAGAAATCTTGCAACAATTACACTATTTCCTCTGTAAACACAGCACACCATCTTAACATGCAACATCCAACTTTAATCCTTACCCTTTATTGATCAAGCTTCCCATATTCAGCCATAACTCTCACAGAGTAATTCATCTTCACATTCAGACTTGCAATCACACCAAATTTTACCACAAAACAAAAACACCAACTCCGAAGTTCATAACCTTTATAAAATTACTTCCTGAAAAGTAGACTACAGTGGCAGGAAACACCAAGGGCTCCCTATACCTTTACTAAATCCACACCTTTTCAACAATCACTGACAAGATTTTTAAAAATACGAAACTTTTGTGTCATACAGCTCCTAAAGAGAAATTAAAGTTACTTTGCCCAAGGACAGGCTCTTTTGTAACTGTCCTTGAGGAGAACATTTTTTAAAGTATTCCCTCTTAATGTTGGTCCTTTCAATGGAAGACTACATCAAACATTGGTTTCATGAGAGATTACCAATTGTCAACTATTTCCAGGTCATTTTAGTCAATCCACCAAAACCAAAAGTTAAAAAAAAAAAATCCCCACTGTCATCCTTGCAGGAAAAAATCACTCTAACAATTACTCACTTTGGGGCTGGGTTTTTTTGGCACTTTCTCCTGAAACAGCGTCCCTGATCAAGTACAATATTCAATTAGCTAATTCCGTTATTCAGTCTTATATTTAAATAGTAATACATTAGGGAATCCACTGCATTTATGTGGAAACTATTCTACTTGTAGCATCTAGCAAAAAGATGAGAAAGAGAGAAAAGCTGAAGAAGAAAAGTGGTAAATGTCTCATTTTGATGGCATAAAATCCAATGAAAAACAACTGTCACTCAATCCTTTATTCAAATCTTCAACATGTTTCCATGAGTCTCCCTACTGAGCAGAATAAGAATATTAAAGGTTTATTTTCTATAAGTTATTGCTTAAAATTATGAGATCTGCAAGCAGACGTTAACCTCTGTTCCCTTAAAATTCTCAGAAACAGAAAGTGTTAAATTAACAGATCATGATCAAAAATTGGTTATTGCTTTCATCAGACATATGAACTCTGCTGTAGTTCCTGTGACTCTACTGGCAGCAATCTTGTACTATAATAGGAGTCTGAAAAAAACCTGCATATGAACTAAAGTACCATCCAAGACATTCACTTCAGCTGAATACTACTTTGTTCCGGGGATGGAGAAAGGAGGCAAGCACCTTGATCAACAAGAGGCAAAATGCCTCACTGAAACCACAACTTGTCTTCAAAATTCACCAGTCAGCAGGTTTGCAAGGGCAGAAAATAAAAAATGACAAAACAAAACAAAAAAATCCCCAAAGATGGACGTTTTCAGATTAGAAAGACAAGTAAGTCTAAACCAAGAGGAGTCAGATCCTATGTAAAAACTTTTCCAGACTTTGAAGTTGTACAGATTAGGGGTTTAGTCAGTGTGTGTCATTTACTTTTAGTCATTTTCTAGAAGAGAAAATTAGCCTTTATTCTTTAAATTAGGTACAAGTACTACCAAAAGTATAAGCAATCCAATAAAACAAGAATCTTGTCCCTTTCCAAATCCCTGACCCACAACTACAGTTTCCTTTTAAAATATGTGCTTTACTGCTAATTAATCTTCCTTGAAAATTTAGGCAAGGCTTTTACAGTGTTTCTTAAAGCTTTTCAGGCAGGGTGCATTTTCTTATGGCGTTGCTTCAGCAGAATTAAATTTAGAAATAAAATGAGATATAAATCAACTTACCTTTCATAATAGTGCATTAAAACCAAATAAAAACCCCACTGTATGATATGGTCACTGGTACCTGGCCCTAACACTTTTTAAAGGCAGGATTTTTCCAGATCAGCATTTGTAGCACTACTTTATCCTCTGTGACTGCAGGACAATTTAAGAGTAACTTCATTTCCTGTTAAAATGCTATCAACTCTCATGAAGTGAAGCTGGGAGGATTAAATCAATGATTAAAACTCCAAGTAATTTCTTGCCCAGTAATAAATATGAGCACAGACTGAGCATGATAACTGAAACCCGACCAGCACAGAAAAGTTGTGTTAATGTTAACTGAGCTGTTTCTCAGCTCATCAATACATTCCAAGTCATCTCTTCCTTACCTGGTACATCCAATAAAAAAGGTCAAAAAAAGATCTGTTGTCTTCTCCTGTTGGACCACAAATCTTGCAGCACAATAGTAAACAGAAATTATCACCTAAACTCCTGTGCTCAATTTATTAAATGCTGCATATTAAGATTCCATCCTCCTGCCTGGATATGCAAATTCCTTTGGTCTTTGAAAAAATGAACAGATAAAGAGCTGATTCCAATTACATATAGACTACAACTATTTTGTACTGACCTGGCTACAAACTTGCTGAAAAGTTCTGACAGAATGCTCAGGCTTTCATTTTTTTCTAAGATCTCCAAGACCTACAAAAGAAAATGTAGGAAGCTGGAGAAAAGTTGACAACCCAGTGCTCAGCAGCTCACCACATTACAAATTGGTTACTATCAAGAATAAATATAAGATACAAATATAATGTACCAGAAAAAGTTTGAAACTGTACAAATACTACAATACTGCACGCTTCAATAGCTACTAGGATTTGTTTATGACCACAGACATGAAATGTGCTTATTTCAAAACCAGAAAATTAAGATTACTCTGGAGCTGGGACTGGACTGCTAATTAGCACTGAGTTAATGGCTAAGGGACAGACACACACTAATAAAAAGAATTATTATAACCATTAATGGCTGTGCTAAATCCAAGCCAAAGCATATTGTAACCGGCAGATCCACATCCCCTCTGATTACAGGATCAGAACATGTAATGTGGGTTTCCATAATGCAATGGCAGGTGAAATAGTTACCCACCCAGTCCTGCACATCCTAAATGCTACAAAACTTTAAACAACAGCAGTGTGCAAACCAGAATTTATTCCACACAGCTTCAGCAGCTGAACTCACTGAGCAAGAACCATGTTTCACATAATGTCAGAACCTGCTGGGCAGCAGAGGGAGTATTTGGCTCAGAACTACACTCAAAATGAAGGAAACCATGAATTTTAAACACTTCATACATATCCCAAAGAAATCAGCCAACAGGCACATGAAGCAGAAAAGGAAAACAATCTAGCAATACAATCTATGCCAGAGTTCAGTGTCAAATGACTGCCTACTATCAATGTCAGTGCTTGTGATATGCACCACAAGATGCAGCGGGTTAGGTATCAGCAATAAAATCTGTAAACATTTTACAATGGTGCATTTTCATTCTAAGCTGCAGAAAAGTTAAAGTTGCACACAATGAAGAAAGAGTAGTGTTAAGATAAACAGCAATAGAAGGAATAGTTTCTCATCCCCAAACAAGGAGTTCTGCTGGATTTTTTATAAATGTTTCAAATGTGATGCTATAAAGACTGAGTTAGACACCTAAGCTTACACTGCCTTTGCGAAAGATGACAGGCAAAAAAACCACCTTCAGACAGGAAGCCAACTTTCTTCCTGTAGTTTAATCAACAATTACTAAAATTAAAAGGCTTCTTTCTTCTTCACTAAAGTAATGATTAAAAGATACACCTTTAGAACAACATTTTGTATGGCAGAAGTATATTCTGTGGCCTATTCTATGGGGGAGTAGGACAGCACAGGGAAAAAGTGTTTCATGCAGGAAGCACAAAGAGAGGCTGCCAAAAGTGAGTGTGGGCTTCTCTTACAGCAGTGAAATGTAGGTAAAATCCCTCCTGCTTGATAAAAATTCCAAAGTGTCATCAAGGGAGGAAAAACAAAAGTAATGATTCTTGCCATACAGGTAGAACATATGAAAAAGTGTGTAATAAAACCTCTTCTTCGTGACGCCCCCATCTTTTTCCCCCTCAGAAAGAAGAGTATAAATACACTAAACAGCTTAATGACAACTTATCAGCTCTCACCATCCATCCCAACTCTAATATTGAGATAACACTGACATGATGTGCAAAGTCCTCATCTTTGGCTGTATTGCAGCAGTAATTCTCATGACTGCAGCTTATGGAGCACCTCTTAAGAAGACTAAACTATCGCCCGCTCAAAAACAGGCACATCTTGAAGCTTCAATAATTGATTTAACACTCCTGAAAGATATTGACAACGTAAGTGGTGATTTTCTTCTATCTGAAGATTCATTTGTATTTGTTTTTTTCTATGTAATTTTTTCAGAAAAATTAATTTCCCCCCCTCCTTTTCTACAGAATTTTCTTGACTTTTACACACCGAATGACAAACAGGTGAGTTTGAGTTTTCTGTTCAGTTTTAATTCAATTTAGGGAGTGCAATTTCTTAAAGAAACTGCTTTTGCTTTTTATTCTTAAGCATTAAAGGGCTGACATGCAACATTATCTCATTGTCTCTGTGCAGTAGGTAACACAAAATGAGTATTTCATTAATTCCTCCTGCTTAAAACATGCTTGAATTGTGGTTCATTAACAATTTAAAGATGGTGCAAGATTTGCAGGAGGCAATACTGTTAACTCTTAACACAGGAACAATTCTGAGAATGAAACCATAGATTAAAGCAGTATCCATGTGAAATCACCCACATTTTATCTCAGCTAGAGGCAGAGCCACTGGTTGGTCCTGTTTAAGATGTTGTAAGTTTTCTGCATCCCATCAATGATGAAACTTGGTTATGCTCTACTTAATTCTCTTTGTGAATATAACTTAACCAAGCCCTTCTGGATACATAAGCTGTACATCATGTTGTACGGCACTGAGTTAACACCTGAGGCTTATTCCCACAAAAATACCATCACTGTGGTCACCTCACTCTGAAGCTCAGCACATCAATGTGCAGTGAGTACTCCAAATACAGCTCTACTGCAGACAGGCTGCTGGTCTGTACTACCTCTCATTCAGCATGCAAATAACTCAATAATCAAGAACATGAATTATTTAGTACTGAGAAGTAGTTAAAAGTTTTACGCAAGTTATCTGTTAGATGCTTTGAACCTCTGGTAAGTTTCTAATTCAGAAGACTTCTCACTAAACAACACCTTTGTTTCAGTATAGATTTAAAGTAAGATTCTGCAACCACTTCCTTATATGTGTCCCTTTTCTCTTGCGCTGACAGCATTAAGACCTGGCTATCTCAGAGCTCTAAGTCTTAAATGCAAATGTTTGGGGCTGATCAGTAAGGTATTGTCAGTGAGTGCCTGAAATAGCTTACAAAAGTGGTGTATAAAGTTATTTACCTAGTTCAAAAGCCAGGTCTGATGCAGACATTATATAGAGCAACCAAAGTACACCAACTGAATATGCCTCAAGGAGAGGCCACCTGTTTACTAATCCATGATTTTCAGATAGCAACCAGGAGTATGGCTCGCTTCAGGAGTAAATATTGCAGCTTTGTGTCCCCAGGAGATTGCAACACTTCAAGTGTCTTGCAAAGGTTACTCACTTTTCAAAACCTACAGAATTAAGGCCTCATGTAACATCCCCCAATACAACTTTGAGGGCAACAAAATGAACTGTAATACACTGCAGAAAACAAATATCTCAGTTCCCAAGATGAGGGTAAAAAACCCAGGGGAACTGAGATTTTGCTAACTGGAACAAGGAAAACAAGTCATAACAATTTTGCTGACTGTTCTAGGAGTGCAACCACACAACTCTAGCATGCTTCCTGAAAGAACTGAAGGTCTTGAAACAAGATGTGGAAGAGGAGGACAAGCAACTTGTAATAAATATCGAGAAGAATCTTGAGGATTTTATGGTAGGCAATTTTTACAACTGCTACCAAAAAAAAAAAAAAAAAAAAAAAGGAAATAAAAGTTTTACCATTAGCGAAACATCATGCCAGAATCAGCATGTTCATGCATCAAGATGTGTTATCAACTTATGAAATACAGGGTTTTGTACAAAAACATGCTAAGATTTAACTATGTGAAAACATCTATTTGCATGGTAATCTAATATAATACAGCAAAATAGATTTGAGCCCTACTGGTCATACAAGCCAACATTTAACAAAATATGAAGTTTTCTTCACTGAATCATGCAAAGCACCTTGTGCTGACAAAAGCTTGCTTTTAGGAGCGTAACAAATATTTACATAGCAATAACTTTGAAAACTCTGCCAGTTTTCAAAAAAGTTTGTGACTGGAGGGCCCAGGGATGAATGTAGTACATCCTGACATACTACTAGACTAGAGTCCATAGGCTAGAGATCCTTGTAGCATTTCATGAGTATTCTCAGGCTGCAAATATTACGGTTCTTTTTTGTTAAAGGAAGAACTTTACAGAAGTTGATGCATCATTGTTAAAACTAGCTAACAAGAAACTTATCACTAATCAATGAAATTCTCTGTATTGCAGGACCCTGACTTCTCAAACCCGACATGCAAGAAGTGTGAAGCCAATGAGAAGAAAAAGTTTCCTGAATTTCACCAAGAAATGACCAGATTTCTGCAATCTATGCAGAAAGAAATTTTATAACCATTCTTACTTTTACTGCTACATTATTTATTGGAATATTTAATTCTGAATAATTTATATATTTTGCCATGTGGCATACTACTAAGCTTGTTGTCCATTTTGGGACCACTAAATGTTCTTAATATGAGTGGTAAGAAAATCTGTTCTAAGATCACACTTGATCCTTTCTGTAAGCCCTAGGGGCTCAATGTTCTTTGGAAAACTCATTCATTGTCACTTTGTCAACAACCTAAGACAACTATTTATTGAAAAAGCTATTAAAAGTTATTGTGGATTATATTTAATAAATGTCATTGACATATAAAAATCATGTCTAGAGTCTTCTTTGTTATGATTACTGTCCTTTTTACAGGTGACTTAATACCCTATTTTTTTAAAAACACACTGAAGTATTCAGCAGCATGCAAGTGTGCAGGTACCAGACTCAAAGCAAGACACCTGCTTAAAAGGTGTCTTGCTTAAGCAATATACAATGCCAGTTTATGCTGGCATACAGCACAAGGTATAGAGCACCGAATTTCTTCTTCTCAAAAAAGAACCTTTCCGTTTTCTTGAGCTGTACTGTTTAGCTACACAAGCTTCCTGCAGGACACATTTTTTTCCTTGCTGTAAGAATAATATATAGTTCTCAAAATTCTTCGAGACAGGGAAGCACTATGAAAACAATAACACACCAGAAACAACAACTGTGCAGGTAACTGAGGACCCAGAACAACAAAACTGATGTGAAATTGAAGATGAATGTATAAATCCATGTGAACACAGTGCATTGTCAGAAATATTTCTGTGGAACCTCAGAAATATCCTTACCCCCAATGCAGATGGACTCAGAATGTGACAAAGAAACAATGTAAGAGCATTTTTTACTACATAAAAGCCCCAAGTCAATACTAACAAGAGAAGCTATAATTGATGAAAGTGAGCCTACTACAAAAGCTATCAGGTATTGTTTAGACTTTGATGTGCTTTCCTGGTGGGTGTGGTATGGAGTACTTCACCTTACACTTAAAACCAGACTAAAAATGGAAAAAACAGCAGTTTCCTTGCATGCTGCAAAGAGAAAATGGGTGTTAATGACAGCTTTCTGCCAAAACTGGGAAAATACTCACAGCACTGCCGTCTGTCTCTCTACTTATCTTCTCTTCCCACGGTGAAGGAGTGCTCTGTCCCCACCCACAAGGACTCAGGAAAGTAAATACTGTCAGTCACCTCAGCCACAAACAGATAAGCCCCACCCTTTCTCCAAATCAGATGACAGTAACAACAAAAATACTTGAACACAGTAGGACACAGAAGACAAGAAAATAGGCAAGAAACTTCTACATCAGAATTCCTTCTACACTGGCAATCTTTGCAGAAAAATCCTCTTTAAATAGATTCCTTCTTACTCCAAAAATTCTTAAATGCAGCATGTAGAAAGAAACAGCATCACACACAATAAATGGCTTTGCAAACAAACTTCTTCCACTATCAGGTCAGATGTCTGTCTGTGGGCAGTGTTGTGGCAGTGCTGTCCCAGCTCTCACCAACCAGAGGAAGGGCGAAGGAGCAGTTTTCATTAAGCACAATTCTCTTAATAAATAAGGCTTGCTTTATTATTTCCTAAAGCACAAGAGCCCTCTGCTTTGGCAGGGTAAAACCTACCCTGGAGTCAGTCTGTGCAGCTAGACAGCCCACATGGAATAACAAAGACATTTCCTAAATCCCTAAACAGTAAGCATTAGGTAAGGCAGCAACAGCCCAATAGTTCAGAAAGCAGAAAAGGATGGTAAAGACATACTCACCCAGGTATTCATAAGGAAAGGCAGAAGCTGGAGCTCACTAACAATTTCACAAATACAAGCACAGTGTGAAACTACATACACTTTTTGCGGCTTTTGGTCTGCACAAACTGCTTTGGAGTTGGGCTACTCTGAGACAGCTGCAAGGTTACAGTCATGGAAAGAGGAGGCTTTGCCTATCTTGGCTATAGTTTTGGAGATCACCACACCACTTCCTCACAGTAGCCACAATCTGCAGTGGATTTTCAAAGTATGTTCAGGCTGCCTTCGTCCCCATGTAGCACCTCCAGCAAAGAAGTTCAAGACAGTTTTTCAATACTTGTATAAAGACTGCTGACACAAAGAGCTAGCTGAGGTGTGAGAAAGGTGCTATATAAGGTTATGTCTGTCAAATCTACATCTAATTGTAGGTAGGTCCACATTCTTAAACAGCATCTGCAGGATCAGCTTCTGTATTTGCCCAAGCTTTAAAAGATGTCTTTACAGAACAAGGATGTTAATAGCATCTGAAAATGCATAACAAGGTGAACTTTCCTAGACATACCTTCCCCCTGTAAGTTGTAAAAAAACCACAGAACCCCTAAAAAAAATTATCAAAGTTGATTTCCTGAGCTGCCTTCTCCTACTTGATTGCACAGCTCTAGTATCAAATTAAGATGTTTGACATGAGCCACAAAATGCTAGTGACACAATAGGGATGTGTGCATATTTATGTGACATGCATCTGAATGTACTAAGCCTGAGATGCGGTGTGACACAGTATGATGCATGACATTACAGCCCTGCCTCAAGTAGAGGCAAAACCATGTGTGGGATTGTTTCTGCCCCAAAACCCAGGGGCACATGGCAGGTAATACAGAGAGATGTGGAAACACAGTGTGTATCTGAAGGGGATTTGACTTCTGTTATGTCTGTAATTGTGTAATATTGTATGTACTGTGTGTACATCTAGGATAAACAGAACCCACAGTGATGGACTAAATTAACCACCATCTTGGAGGGAGAGCCATTGACTATGGAAACGAGACCTGTGTTCACATGTAAGAAGACTGAGCAATGTTCTGGTTCCAGGCAGGACAGGGTTCAGTTTCTGCAGTATCCAGAAGAGGGCACAACCAAGACACAGAGGCCATTCTGTATCACCTCACATCATCAGCAGGGATGGAGGAAAGGGATCCTCTTCCAGGGAGGATTTCCTTCTGGTTCAGAAAACGGTGGAGGGAGCTGTCCACTATTGTCTATTATTGGGTTTTCCCCCCATGTGCACAATCACTGTTTCCAGTAAATTCTTATCTCAACTCCACAGCCTTTCCCTTTCTGCCTCCAATTCTCCACTCCAACCCACTGCAGAAGGAAGATGAAGGGAGAAACAGGGAAGCAGAGAGAGCACTGGGTTGGAGAGTCCCAGTGCGGGGCATGGAATTGGCAAGTACCATTCCTAAAATACACTGTGCTCCACCCAGCTGTGTGAGTCAGGCAGAGCTCCAGGAAGTGGAAAGAACATTCCCACACCTACCCCATATCCATGTGTACATCCATTCTTCCCCCTGGAGCTCAGTTCTTCTCAAGCATGGAAGGGAGAGGCTGAGCTCAGCCACAGGCTGCTGCTAGTGGTGCTCACCTGCCTCTGTCTGCTCTGTGCCGTATCTGTGTGATGCACTCCTGCTCTGTGCACCTGGACCTGCTGGGAATACAGCTCCAGCCTCAGCACTGGAACTGCAGCACTCTTGCCCCTCTCAAGCTTGGAGGATCACACATGTTGGAGTTGCTGAAGTAGCCGAGGAAAAACCTGGATGCAACGTCTCCACACTTCCATTTACTAGCTTAGTGCATGCTGCATATGCTGCTACTAAATCAAAGAACAATCCAGGTAAAAGAACTGGACCTACACTGTTGGCATCAAGTTACTGCTCAAGGACACAGTGATTGTGTACAGCCAAACACAAGCTCTTCCTTAACATCTCTCTTCCTAACACAGCACGTAAGTTCCATGGAAATTTCAGTTTGGTGTTCAATTAGTAAAATGGCTGAAGCACACAAAAAAAGATTGTACCAAGTATGTACTTGCACATAATTAAGGCTTCTGGGTCAACTACAGGAAACACCTTGGTGCCGATACCTCATCAGAAGACTAAGTTCATACAAAAAACAATCCAGAAGTGTATAGAATGCAAACACATGTGTGGTATGCGATGTGTATGTCAGATTTGTATGTCATGTCCCAGCACCTGTATGCATGAAGGTATAGGTAACGCATTTTCAAGGACATTTATTGAACTTTTAACACCTACAGAAAGGCAACACTGTGCTCTAGCCTGGAATATGACAACCATTCCCAAGCATTCTTAGGAAACATGACATCGAACAAGCAGTTCCATATGCCACGATAAACCAAATACCACCACACAACCCCCCAAAGTTAAGGGACAGTAACAGGAAACAAGAGAGCAACATGAGCCAAAAAAAAGTCAAGGACCAAGCAGTAACAAGTCAGCATGTTTCAACAGCTTGTGAATCAGTGTAAGATCATCCCGACAGAAGACTCTACATATGGTATAAGCTGAAAGAACAGACTAAGGAAAGAAACAAACACCAGGAAGAGGAACTTCTCTGAGAATCCTCTAACACTAAGAAGGTGAAACACGACAACAGCATTACACTCACTATTCCTGATGTATGAGAATACTGCATAAGCCCCCACTTGCACGATTTACAGAAATCACAAACATAATCCAAGTGTACTGTCTAGTTTGAACACACCAGTGTTCAAGACACCACACCAACTCCACATATGGCACTTAACATCACCTTCCCAACGCTACCATGTTCTTACCAGGACTTAAAAGGAAGTTAATTCCCTTATGACAGGCATCATTTTCGAGGTTACTGTGTATGCAGACAATTTCACTAGCACTTGTCAGCAGTGATGAAGTCATCTTCAGCGCAAGAGTCCAACTCATCCAAAAGCATTAACATTGATGGAGTTTGAGGCAAATCACAAAAGCTGAAAAAACCTTGTTTCTGGAGACTTGTATACTACATTGCATTATTTTCTTTCTTAACAGCTTTGACACCTGCATAATGCTTTAAGCAACTACCAGAACCAGTAATTGTCACAAGACAGTTGAGTAATAGCTGGTCATTCCAGGTTTCATATATGAAAGTACAAAAATTATTTTCAACTCTTCTAGCATAAACAATATAAACTACTTGGCAGATCCACCCTAAACAAAACTCTCAGCAAAGGATGAATGCCTACAAATAAAGCACAGACTGCCCATTTCTTTATTTTTTTTTCTGAAAGATGATCACATTAGTATGCCCTTTTTTTTAAAGAAATCCAGCTTTTACTGATTTTTTTTTCTTTTCTAAAGTTATGAGAAAGGGAGGAAAAAGAAGAAATCAATAGACAGAAATTCTAAAACTATCAGGAAAAAAACATGTTAATTCCACAGGGTGGGAATGTGTAAGAGTCAGGGTCAGTGAGCTGAAATGAGGTTGCACTGTGGGGCAAAGGAGAACAAAGATTTACAAAGCAGTAGGTTACTCCCACCTATGAGAAAACATCAATTTTGGGAAAAGACTGAACTATTACAGGTGGTTTAATAACTACATTTAAACTAACAATAAGCAGTTCTGGAATCTTCTTCCTGTAACTACAAACTTAAAGTTGAACATTTTACTACTTGGAACTCTATTTACTGAAACAGATCATTCAAACGGACTTAACATTTAATCCACCTCCATCAATCACTGAACTGTTCAATATGTGGCGACTTCACAATCCACGATCCATAACTGTGCTGCTCTAAGTAGCTCTGCAGCAAGCTTTTAGCTTCTTGGTACAACTGAGATTTAACCTAAAAGAAGAAAAAAGAAAAACCTTGAAAAAATCTCAAGAATTACGGTTACAGAGATCCGTGATCTTTACCACCAACATGCAATAAGCACAAACACTGCAAAAATGATACCTCTCCCTGTGTCAGCTCACCTTTGCCTCATGGTATGTTGCAACCTGGAGCAGGTCATCCCGTCCTGCTTCCCTGGCGAGCATCCTGAATCTGCTGAACATGGCGGCCTTGCACAGGCGGCTGGCCAGGCAGGTGCCGCTGCGGAACGGGGAGCTGCGGGCAGAGCAGGGAAACAGGGATAGAACTCAGGAACAAACGCACTACAGGGAGATGTTCTGATGCTTACAGGGTTTTCCCCTCCCTCCTAGCACTTTGTGAATACCATCATGCTGGAATCCATCTCAATTAGAATCCATCTCGATTAGAATCCTAATTAGTTTTATGCATTGTGAAAGCTAAAACATTTTCACTACTACAGCCAATGGACTACAGATATCTTCACTGAGAGAACTGTTTTGTTTGGTATCTTGGTATTTCACTGTGAGCTTACAAGATCTCTAAAACTTCACCTAATCACAGGATGCTTTCAGCTAACATGGGAGAGAATTTCTCTCATAGCTTAAAAAACTGAATACTCCACTAAACCAGCACAAACCCGTTATTTCCACCAAAATGAAGATAAATGCTGACCTTTCAGTCGTTTTCCCACTTAATCCATCCACAACCTCCAGAGATGCATCTGACAATGTCCAATTCAAACTAAGTGACCACTGGTTCAGATCTGTTTGGATTAGTAGTGCAGCCTTCACCAAGTAAATATGAGATCTATTGACCAGGTAATGCATGGGAAGCTTTGAAGTAAGTTCATCATCAAGACGCTGCTTTATGGTTATGTCCAGTCCTTTTGTATCCTTACAACTTCCATTTCCTAACAAACAGGACAAGATCAGCCACATGCAAGTACATCAAATTAAATAGTTAAAAATGCAGATATTTCTGCATTCTTGATCTATTACAGTCATTTTTTCACATAAAATTCATGTTTCTAAAGATCAGTTCCATTATTCAATTCACAGAACAAAAATTATTTCCCATTTTCTTCTCCAGAGGCACCATAATTTTCATTGGATACTTTCTTTTTTTTTTTTGAAGCACTGTTTTTCACCAACTCTTTATGTTCCCTGCTAAAACAGTATTTCATCCCCCTTTCAGACTAGAAAATATGTTAAGGAGTTTGCCCACATTACCTCATATCCAACAGCAACTCTGACTGCCTACTAAATAAATACACTTTGGTCCACTGCATCTCAAGGAACAATTCTGTAATTCTTCAAAGAATCTGTGGTTTAGTTCATGCTTTATAAA